AACATTACTGTTATGACTGTAACCTTCTCGCTTATTTTGGAGATATCCGACGATATTTTCGGTTGTTACCTAGGAATGCTATTGATTTCATTTGTTTTTTTTCTGATCTATGTAACTGCTAAACTCTTGAGTTGGGCCCCTTCGGTTGCGCTCTAAAATAATACACCTCGAAATGTATCCTTTCATTTTTCTTTCATTCAACTCGATAACGTATGATAATAGTAATCCGTTGCGAAACTATTTTTAGGACGAAAAGTTTCGAGCAAAACAAAATAATCAAAAAGAAATTAAATGTATGGCATCGACAAGCCATAACAATTGCACTGATAATTTGATATCTTCATTCACTGCATCACTCAAATCTGACCTTGATAGCCCAGTGACATCGAATTTTGGCAATCACATCGCTGATTATCATACTCAGGTTATCTTGTTTCTTCATCTGATGTTTCCAGTAGTGTCAGGCCGCTTTAACATTTTATCGGTGATCGCTAATTGTGAATTCTTTTGAATGTGGCAGTGGTTATTCGGTATTCATTTATCTTTTGATGTGACTATCTCGTCATTATCGTTGCAATATCGACTGATTGATTCTGATAAATTCTACCGAAATGAGATCTTTCGGAACCATTTGCAACATGCATACCGCTCAGTATTGATAAATTGTGAAAATTACGCTCATTCCCTTACCNTTAATAATGACTAAACCGATATTGGTAGATATCTCAATAGTGATCAAGGTTTTTCATTTTCACAACGACAGATCGACTAAACAATGATTCAGGTTCAAAATATCGCTGAGCAAATCGAGAATGATGCGTCCGAGTTTGAGAGATTACGAAAGATCTCGAAAGATATTGAGGATGGGATTGGCACTCTTGCTAAACAGCTAAATGCATTCGCACAAGTTTCTAAAGAGGTTCGTTAGCGTATGAGTTTGATTTGTGTTCTGCGAGTTGAAGTGAAACCTTGATAATTGCAGCAGAAATGCGTTTGCATCAATATTAGAAGTAGATGTTTAATTGAGAAATAAAGTTTCAACTTTTGCTTTAACTTCCTTGATCATCCCTTGGATTAAACACTGTTCCTGATGAAATTCATTTAGCAGAAATACGAAATCAGTAAACGGATGATAAGTCAATGAATGCAAAAAGGATCAAACTGTATTACTGAATTGAATATGCTGAAACGTTTTATATTCTGACAGATAAGTTTTTGCAGTTAGCTGAAAAATGGACGACAAAATCAGAGAATGACACAGAATCAGATGCAGCAATTGCGTTGCTGAAGATGGAACTCTTCATGAGGGTTTGTTCATCGATTATTTATTCAATATTTTCTGCACACAGCAACGTGCAGTCAGATGCAAGCTGTTGGTTACATTTCATGGATTGGAGTGTCGTAACAGTTGGAATTCTGAAGAAATAGTTTCTTTTGAGCTCTGGTAATCCACCTTACAATTAGGGGAACGATGAATATCATAATCATTGTGACCATCATGATCACGTATCATGATCAGTTTACTCTCTCTAAACATCTTTAAATGTATATAAGATTGTAACATCCAAATAAGTGAATGAATATTATTATTGTTTAGAATGAATCCGAATTGATGAATGGACAGTTGAGGAACTGGCACAACAATATGGTGCATCCGTTAGATCTTCTTGTAAAGTCACCAAATGAACTGAAAATCAAGAACGTTGACAAAGCATGTCGTGAATACGATAGTAAATTCGTGAAAACGGAAAATGAAACACGCAAAATAGCCAAACAATGCGGTTATACACGAAGTCAACTAAGTCATGGTGAACTGGCTGAGCAGTTATCAAAAGAAAGAATATTCGTCGAGTACGAGCTGTGTAAGGTGAGTGACCAGTTAACACTGATAATAGTATATCTTTAGTAGAGTAATTAGGTGATGATAATAATGGTGATGGCGATGAATTGAAGTAATTATTTGATAAATAGAATAAATGAACGTTGAACCGTTAACGGGGTGTTTGTGATAGAGAGTTGGAAATTGGATTAACCGATGAGGACGCTGTTAAAGTTGAACTGTTAAACTTGAAATTGAGTTAACCAAATTAAAGCAGTTTATGTGGAATAAAACTTTGTGATAAAATTGAATTAACAGTCGCTATAGCATTCTGATGATAACATCAGCGGTAAGAATAATGAGTGGATGACGGGAGAAAGATAAGTAATTAACCATTCATTACTGATAGAAATAAGTTTAGCGTAATGTCGTCATAAAATGGCAGCGTCAATCGTATCACACATTGACTGTGTTTTAGAATGTTTTGAAGGAATTGATTTCACTTTTGCTTAGCAATTAATTAAGTGGATGTAACGGAAGCGATTAGTAACGGAACCAAGCAGCAATTGTTCTAGTGTGTATCATTTTTGAGTTGTGCATTGTTTCAGTTCATGCTGGGCGCAGATTCGTTCGAGGACAAACGCGGTGCACAACTATTCAGACATTTCATGGAACTGTTCAGATCTCAAGATATTTATTATAAAGAGAGACTGAAACTGAATGAGCATTTTCGAAGTGATCTGGAGAGACTGGAGGAGCGAATGCAGGCGAGGAATGCAACTCGATGTCAGCAACGTAATGCGTTGTTCGACTTGAAAACATGTCTCGAAACTCATTCAGAAATCATTCGAAATGCATCTGGTGAGTTCTTTGTATATTGTCGAGTGTTATGCATTCAATCACTTATTTATTTCAGTTGACTTTAGTCATATTACAATAAATATTGCTTGATTGCATGGTACAAATTTTTTTACTGGATTAATAGTTCGAGTCTGCTGTTTTGGAAGTAATTTGAATCCATTTTTATGGAGGTGATTGGGTTGAATGCGATACTGATCCGTGCATCTCTGTAATTGTTGAACCATTAGCTGAGATAGGATACATGATGATTTATGACTTTTTGAACTATATTATACATATGCAAACGTGAAAGGCAAATGATGAAGAGTGTACGGAGACTAGAAGGGTATAGACTTGTAATTGCTGATTGAGATGAAATTTAGGAAATCGTCAGATGAGTCGAGCGGATTCCTTATTGAATCGTTCATCATTGTCGCAATCGACAATATCAGGTAGCACTGATAAGAGTAAACAAAAGTTGATATCGTCGTCAGCCAACATGACAGCACAATCACAATCGAATGGCAGCAATGCAGATAAATCGATGTTGAATCAAAGCGCTCACCACAAAGTGGCCTTAACACCAATGAATCAAGTGCCACTGAACATGTCAACATCAGTACACCAACAACAACAACAGTCATCAAACGATGAGCGTATTGATTTGAATGGTTATCTATTCAAAAAGACCAACAATAAGCTGCATAAACTGTGGCAAAAAAGGCGATGTCGTCTTCACAATGGATATTTCTGCATATCGCACTCTGATGTTTGTTCATCACTTTTTGTTGTTCTTTTCATTGGTGTGATAGATGAGTGGATGTCACTTAGCAAGCAAACATCAATGAATACAGTTTAAGCATCTCTGAGCCTGATTCAAGTGAACAAAGCTAAATTCCTAGCTGAAATCCAGCGATATCTTTTTATGATTGTTAGTTGGTTGGATTGAATGGTCGATTTATTTGGTAACATAATTTGGCAATACCCAAAGTGATGATGCTAATGTTAATTGCATTCATGATATCAAGCAAATGCAAGGAATAATTGCGGTGATGTTCGAAAGAAGTAAAACGCTTGTACTCTTTATTTTAATGGTGAAGTTTAGGAGAGTCTCGCACCAGTCAGGATGGACTTACGAATATCGGATTGTAAACCTTCAGCGGATGACCCGAAAGCGTTCGATTTTTATTGTCGTGATCGAACGTATCATCTGCAAGCCGAAACTGAGGCGCTTTTGCAACAGTATTTATTAGTTTCATTGTTGTGATGTGTTCAATATTCTGTGCTGATTGCATTGTTTTATCGTACTGTTAATAATCAACATTCATTGCTTCACTCACAGCATTGTTTTAGCATAATTTCAGTTCACTTCTCAAATATGAATTTGTTTATTTTGATGATTTTCTCAAAATCGTTGGAATGTAATCGTCATGATTACAGATGGATATTGGCTATGAAGCAAGAGATGGAACGTGTAAAATCCAAGATGTTGACATCGGATGATCAGACATCGAGTTCGGTGTGGTTAAATCAGAATGCATCAACTGAGAGGGATATGAACGATCAGTTATGCATCAGCACTCTGAAGGCTTTACCTGGCAATCTGAGATGTGCCGATTGCTCATCAACAAAACGTTCGTTTGTTTATTTACTTCATAGTTTGTGGAGCGCACGTTTGATAGGCTTTAGGTGTGCGCAATAGTGCTGTGGTAATGATAATATTATTGGATTATGTGACAATTACCATATCGTTTGGGTGAGCACTTATTCGTGAGATCGTTTTGGAATTGTACTAGTGAGTTATTTCATCGCAAACGTTTTCTGTTGAAGATATTTTAAGTGAACGAAGGATGGATTAACGTCAAATTACTCAGAATTTTTAACATCCGTAACGAAACATCCGAAATTGAACTGGTGAATGTTCAAACGAATTGATTCGTCACTGAATACGGCTGTTATTGAATTAAGAAGTGGTGCTAGAGTACGGAATGGTTGATATAATAAGTGAATTGATTGCCACAGCAAGTTGGAATGTAATAAGAATGTGACTGAGAAAAACAATTGCAGAAGTTGAATGGCTCTCAAATATCGGTTCATTAGTGTGCATCGCGTGTAGTGGAGTTCATCGTGAGTTAGGTGTGCACATCAGTCGAATTCATTCAATCGATTTGGATGTCATTTCGGCAGTCGAATACTTGGTTGGTATCCTTAGTTAGTACTTTGTTGTTTTTTGAAAGGTTTCGGTTATGGTTTCTGAGTTTGATAATGAAAGTTGATTGGATGATTGAATGAGTGATCGTTGAAGGTACCTCTTGCCACCGGGAATACACTGATCAATCGCATTTTTGAATATAATGAAACGTCGTGTGCGCAGTGGAAACCGACAGCTGAATGCACAAGGTTGTGATTATTCAGAGTATTTCTTTGCAGATTACTCTCATAGAACCTTTTGGCATTTTCATTTCAGTGATGAATTAATCTTATACATTTAAACATTCATTATGGCATTCTTTTTTAATGTAATCAGTTAAATTGCTCGCGGTTAGATCTGTCATGAATGAATGTTTTCAGCTGTGATCAGTTTTTTTATTATGTTCTAAGATATTTACTTAGTTTCCAAATGAATTCAGTTGAGTTGAACAACCGTTCAAGTTAATCATGCAACTGTATTTTTTTTGTTTAACGTAAAACTTGTCAAGTAATCATCAAAATGAATTTGAAGAAGTGATCGTCAACGCTTTATACAATATAAATATCGCGATCGATGTTATATCGAGAAAGTCGAGCAAGCTGATCGACTGTTTTGTGATGCACTGCGTGAACTGGATGTCGAAAAAGCGTACAGGTTTGCAACGACGTTCATTCGATTTTCTCAATATATATATATCAGTGTTACCTTTGTTATTATGTTAATAATCGTACGAGCAAATTGTTTTGTTGTAACTAATTTTTGTTATTGCTAATTGTTCATTTTGATGATGGTGATGTAAAATAATTTTAGAGCTTTATTAAGTCCATCATTAACATCTCTACCATTCGAAGTGAACGGTCCATTTCAAACGCTGATCCAAAAGACTAAAGCGATGTCATTAGTGATTGCCCAACTTGTTGTACAACTCAGGTGTGTGCGTCTTCTTTACAGTTCATCTGTTCATCTTTAAATCTTTAACGAACGATCACAACATTGTACAATTATCGTTTAAGGATCGGATTGCCTTCACTCGAATCGATACTCGTTGATTGTGTGAATAATGCGAATATTGATCTACTCATCATTCTATTGCAAAGTCATGCGTTTAATTCGTTGTTATCCAACGGATTCAGTCTGGAGCCACTCGAAAGACTCGCCCACAAATTGGGTCATCATAACATTGTTGAATTAGTTAGTTTATTGAATGTTAAGTTTTACGTTATTTTATATTTGAGTATTGATTATGGATTTGCATTTAATTAGACGTTCGTCTTTAATGAATTTTTTAGCAATGAATTAGTTCTAAGTGTTTATTGGTAGACACAAGACGTCTATCTTTAATTTTTTTGAATGATTCCTCAAAATATGCTGTGTAATTTTATAAAAAAATACGGCTCATTCAAGTACGCAATCGAATCTTATTCAACCAAAACATAGTATGATCGTTGTGATAATCAAAGCTATTGATATGTATTTAAGTTGTGCTCAGTGCAGTCTCCCGAACGTACATTGTTCAAACAGTTCACTATACCAGCATCGCTCATTTCACAAGCATCTCAATCAGGTTTCTGAACTGTTTCAAATTATTTTACACCAACTATACTAGCGCTGCTTGAAATAAATTAATGAAATCAGCGCTTAATGTTAAATCGTATGGATTAGTATTCACATACGATTAGATCTGAAATAGTGCTGCTGCTGCTGCTTAAAGTGGTCAGTTTGAGTTGTTTGTAGTAAGTCCAGTTAAAGATGTCACCTCAAAGGTATTAACTTTAAAGTAGGACATTTTCGCGTTCTCGAGCTTGGCCTTTGACTGATATTCAATTGGTATTAATGGTAGTTTCGCGATTATTTTACGAGGAGTAGAGCTGAGCACTGAGAGTAGAGTGTATCTGATAGTAGTGGTTACAGATTCATTGAGTGCATCTTCATCATCGTCATCGCACTTGCCCAACACGAATGCAGAGGTTGACTTGATAGCAACAAACGAACAAAATTCTGCACAAACTCCCTCTGCACAAATTGATGTGTTGATGCGGAATGGCACTACGATTCCAGTTGAACGCGGTTCGTTCGTTTCGTTTTATTTCCATTTGCACTATTCTTGTTTTTTTGTTGACAGTAATTTTGAGATGTGCTTTTCAATTGCAATGTAACAAGTGTGCAATAA